GACGGGTGTGGAGAGGGTGACGAGTTGACCAGGGGTTGGGCGCCGAGCCCTCCTGCTCGGCTCCAGCGAGTAGACAAGTGTTACCATCAACAGAGGAGAAGGATCTGACCTCAGGGCCAATGTGGCCAAGCGCTGGTAGCGTGGTTTTACCTCACACCCGCATGGTCTCTCTCACAGACACACAGTGCAGCTGGCAGTGTCGAGCACACAGTGATCAGTGTGTCTGTGTCGCTCACACAAGCCGCAGCACAAGTGACTGACGGGCCAGTGAGGGCGAGCCCATCGCTGTCACAGCTGTGGCAGCCGCACAGTAGGCTGTGCCAACTGTGCACTAGTGCAGAGCGTGTGAGCAGCAGAGGAGCTGCTCTGCCAGGCTTCAGGCGCAAAGAGCTCTGCATGCCACCGAACGAGGCGCTGTCGAGCGAGGTTCGCCGAGCGCGGCGCAGGTTGAGGGACACCGTCACCGACGAGCGCGTTGGACTTTTCACTCCGGACAAAAAACGCGGCACAGCGGACGGTGGGGCGTGCCGCAAACTTAGAGGCGAGGCGCGGGACCGTCTGTGGCGCGAAGTGGGTCGCGTCCCTCGATTTCCGTCAACTCACCCTCCACACCCTCTAGTTGCAGCTCGCACCCGGTTCTAACATGACCCGACGATTCAAAGACGCAAAGTGATCGATTTTCGACATACTTCTTGATTAAGCTGCGGTCGGATCCCCGATGCCGCCACCCAGTTTGGGATGACGGGACGCACACGCCTCCATCGGCATCGCGCATCGGCACACTACCGCAGACTTGCTGACTTGGAAAATGGACAAGTGCGACAAAACAAACTGTGTGAGTGTTAGAGTTGTTTGGTATTGCTAAAAATCTCTCTCAAGTGCGCGCGCCGCAAGGCGAGGAGAAAGTTTGAGCTGGGGCTCCCGTTCTGCGTTCATTCACACTCGTGTCTGCCCCTTTTCTCGGGGCCGCCGCCGCGTCTGCGGCGCGCCGTCGTTTCTAAATCTTTCGCGGAAATCGCGCAAGCGCGCTGTTTTCTTAATGCCCGGAACCACTGTGTTCATGCGCCGCAGTGCGTCTCCAAGTCCAACCGTCCTGTGTAACCGCCAACTTTGCGCGCCCATGATCGATCGACACTCCACCTCCGACTGGGCGGCGCTGGGCTCGCTGCTGGAGTCGCCGCCCGCGCCCAGAACGGTGGCGAGCACCTCGTACGGCTCCGACGCACCGGTCAGCTACTCGGGCCCAACGCCAGGCATGATCGGCGCGCCAAAGCCAAAGGCGCCTCTGCGGCCGCAGCAGGCCGGCTCTCTCTGGGCTAGCAAGCCGAAGGATGCAAAGGCGATCTGGACGGAGGCGGAAGTGGGGGAAGAGGCGGGCGACGCGCACGACCTCGACGACGGCCGGCCGCAGCCCGAGTACGAGATTGTCTTCAAGCAGCGTGTCTCGCCGGAGGACCTCTTCCTCGGTGAGTGAGTAGGGAGGAGTAGTCTCGGCACAGCACACGCTCGGTCGGCCTTGTCTCTAGCGCACGCACGCTCCCTCTTTCTCTGTAGGTATTGACCCGCTGCGGCACGGCGGTGTCGCCTGCTCCGACGAGCTGCTGCTGCGGGG